CGGTAGCTCCAGCTTCAACACACGATTTTACGACATCATGAGCGAATAATAAATATAATTATTTTTGACATTAACCACAACTTCAATATAATAGTCATACACAGCTGATATGACACATTTCAGCACCATCCTCGGAGGAATCCGATGCATGTCTCTTTGAGAGAGGGAAATAATGATATGACACATTTCAATACTATTCACGTGACCGTACGATCACGATAGGGACAACAAAGGACCTCCAGTGGCATAACACCTCTGAGACAAACGAGGTGGTCACACGCCCTTGCGCTGTTCGATATCGTACAAGTCGATACCGAATACCGTGGAGCCATTCCGAAAAGCTCGGAATCGTGTCGCACGGCACGGGTTCATATAGGTCGATCAGCACTCGTCCGTAGGGTATGAGCCATCTTCTCGAGGAGCTGATAGGCATTAAAGGACCATGTACGATCGACCCTCCTTCGCATGTATAAAAGCCAACCCTATAACCAACGTCGGGGGACTTCAAGCATTCGACTCATCCTTATTCTACTCAATGCTAATTTAGCCTTCGAATGGATTGGGTCGGAAAATCTCCCTCCCAACCTCGACATTTGTGTAGGAGCTGGTAACGAAGAAGCAGGCAACGCGGCCTGAACTCAACCCAACCCGACGCTCACTTCCACCACCCTAATCTTCACGTGGGCAACCTTACGTATCCGAGATCGGATCAAACTATGCTAACATTTTGACCACGACTTAAAGATTCACTAACAACTATATTATAAAATACCTCTTGAGGATTCTCTTAATCACATGACAAATTAAAATATTATATTAGAACTATTAATTATGTTCGATTATTTTGATCTAATATTCATATAAAAATTATAATAATCCCTTCAAAATCCTTTGTTCTATTTCATTCATTCATAAGAGTGACGAAGACAAGATTCAGATCCACAATAAAGATTATTACTAGATAGGTTAAGATTTCAAATCTCCCTAAACATGATATATTGGCATTACTGAACCTATGTAGATACGCTGCATCGAATTGTTAGGATTAAAAGATTAGTAGGATGGATGTACGAAGGAATGCAAGCTAATAAAGGATACATTGCATAGGATTAAACGGAATATTCTGAATTCCTTCCGTCATTAATCCCACTTTAATCTCAACCATCTGTTTGCTTAAAATAGTACAAAAGAATCTTTACGCATGTGTGTTTTTACTCAGTATTTATGATTTGCAGGAGCTTATGCATGATATCATGAATGGGAAAGTTTCAATAAAGGTCCCTGCAAAATGACTCTTCACATAGGAAGCTTATTTATTTTGTCTTATTATTTGTAAAGATCACTCTCTATTTATTGTTTGATAAAATATTATTTTACTATTTATTTCTATTAAAATTATTATAATTAAATAAAAAAATCAAGGAAGGAATGCAAATCCATGAAAAGTATTTTATAAATTATATTTTATCGTCATTGATGCGATGGATTCATAAGAAATTATCCGATGATCGACATCGTATACGATTTTACTTTTTTATGACACAATGGATTTATGAGTTCATGATCTCCTACTCCTCGATGAATATATAATTAAATAATTTTATCAGTATTATATATTATATATTGAATAGCAAAAGTTGGCAATCATCTCATCAGAGTCAATCGTCGTATCCAACTAGCAATTATTTTGATAAAAAATAATTAGTATATTATTGATTAGACTAAAGAATATGAAGATGTGAGCCCAAAGAAATGGTGTTTGGCGTATGGGGAGAGAGAGCAAATCGCAGGAACACCCACCCGATTACGCTGACGTGTCGCGTGCGCTGCTCTTCCGGTACTATTTAACTTTACGATGAATCTACACCCCCACGATATAACCAGAGATGCCCAGTGGGGAAGAAGAGCGAGGCCGCCGGACGATGGGAGAGGAAGCCTTGACATCGGTGGCGCCGCCGTCATCCTCCTCATCCCCCCTCCGCCTCCTCGGCATCCTCAAGCAGCCCGACTCCGATACGGTACTCCACCTCGAGCTCGACGAGAGCGACGTGGTCTGGTCCACCGCCTACGATGAGCGTGATTCCTTCGACGGCTTATCCTCCACCTCGTCGAATCTCGTCCGCAGCCCTCTCCTGGATTCTTCCTGCTCGCCTTCCAGCCGACTCCATCCGTTCGGTCCGGAAAGGCACGGCCTTTCAGCCGCGCTGGCGCAGGACGGGCTCCCTCTTGTGCTTCAGCGGCGCCCGACGTCGAGGTCCACGCGGACGGTAGCGGTAGCGGTGCCGGCGGGGATGGCGCAGGATGCTTCGGTGGTTGGGATGGTGGGCCGCCATCAATCGGCGCCGGTGAACATCCCGGCGTGGCCGAGTTGGAGGAAGGGGCGGAAAGCTGATGTCTTGGATGGATGGGCGGAGGAGAAGGCCGACAAGGAGGAGCCAGAGGAGGAGGGGATGCTGCCGCCGCACGTTATCGTGGCGAGATCGAACGAGATCACGTTCTCGGTGTTCGAGGGCGTGGGAAGGACCCTCAAGGGAAGGGATCTCCGACGAGTGAGGAACGCCGTGCTGCAGAAGACCGGCTTCCTCGACGCGTAGGAGGCCAAAAGCCATCGCCTTTCCTCCCCTGTTTCATAGTCTTTTATTTGGTTATGCGTGGACGTTCTTCCAGTAAACATAACGCTCGAGCATCTGTATGACTGTTCTAACCTGAAGTGTAACAGTGGTTTATGGATCCCAAGAATGTTCAAGGTGTCAACTTTGTTGATGTGGATCATAAATTCTATTAGAAAATAGAAGATCTTTACGCTGTTGAACAATCGAAGGCTTCTCGGCATTATCCCTTGCCGCTTTGCCGGACGAAGCTCTCTGCTCCTCTGCAATCTGAGTTCTTTGCAGAAGCACCGAAAGGCATCGCCTTCCATCTCCTCTGTTCCAATTCTTTCCTCATGAGCATTTGAAGAGTGTCCCTTTTCGTGGACCACATCAGTGTTGACACTGTTTCTAGGCTAAATTCTGACTTCATTAATGGAATTACTACTGAGTTCTGCAAGGTCTTCACCTGCTGTTCTGTTCTCTTGACTTCGATTTCCAAGGAGTAAGAAGCATCACTGCTGCCTAAAGATGAAGGATGTAGAATTGGCACTACTTGGAGACTGATGTTGATGCATTGCTGGAATCTGATGTCTTCTGAGGTCGTGAACTTTTCTGCTGCCATATTTCTGTGGTCAGTATGTGATATACTTGGTTTCTCATGTTGACAGACAAACAAAGATGCATGTTATCCAAATCCATCAGTATTTCCAGATCAGAAAGAAACATATAATGCTTCAAGTTGTCCCTAATGGTCCTCTTTCGAGAAGCACAAAGATTGGATGTCCATCACCTGTAATTTGGATGCCACATTTTGGGAACTTCGGACATCCTTCACACTATATCATTTACAGACACATACCTTCTACAGGCCTTCGTTCATCCTATGTTGACCACAAATTGTTGATTGTATGTTGTGTGTTGACTTTTTTTTTCTCTCTCTCTCTCTCTCTTAAAGAAGATCAGCTGATAGTTGATAAATTGCCAATTTTGTGTGATGTTTTCTCACAAACAAACAAGTAAATGTGATGACTAGAATAGCCATTTGACAGCAGGACCAGTACTATACCGATTCTTGTGGAGGACTAAAAGGAGAGATTAATGGTCATAAATGGCTATGTCATAATGTATAATGCTGTGAACAAATATATGTTTTCCGGTAAGCAAGATAAGCTAATTCTTATGAATCATCCAAAACCAACGTAAAATTTGAGTAGGATTATTAGATTTAGAACTTGCCTTCTCTAGTTATCTATTCTCATAGTGAATATGCTAAGAATCAATCATCATCAAACATATAATTACCAGACGAATGAAAGAAAAAGATTTATGTTACCCTTCACCCATTTGCTCGTATGGACAAAAGTTAAAGGCAAATAATTTGGGACTCTTCCCTGTTGCTCACGTGAACAAAATATCAAGAGGGAGATGTTTAGACGGTTACAGATTATCCCCTCCAAGATTAGATATAAAAGAGAATTCTCGGTGTTACACCAAGAGATCTCTTTCTTTCTAAAAGAAATCCATACCTATTAAGAATCTCAAGATAAATTGAATATAGAAGGGATTAGGTCGGAAAACCTCTCTTGACATATGTCTTAATGTAAGCAAAACCTCGGAGCCACTTTAGACACCCCTACTTCTTCATGTTTGAAATAATTTTCTCTAACATTTTGACATTAGAAGAAGGACATAATGTCGTAGCAACGTCCATCCGTCAATCTTCAAAAAATATACAATGTAATAAACAAATATATATTTACCAGTAAGCAAGATTAATTGATGAAGCTAATTTTTATGAATCATCCAAAATCAACAATGTAAAATTAGGGTAGGATTAATAGGTTTAGAACCTGTCTTCTCTAACTATCATAAAATTACTAAATCATTTGAAGGATTTAAATGTATAAAAATATATTAGTGCAAGGGAATAAAATTTAGCAATGATCAATGTAAAGGCATGTCTTTGTTGCCTTTTTTTTTCTTCTTTGTATAAAACTGAAAACATGGAAAATGTTTGGCCATATTAAACTCATATAAAAACAAATAAAAAAGTGGATTTTTTAAAGGTAAATTAAGTATTAGGAAATTCCATAATTTACAGAACATTTACCTACAGCAAAACCTCAACGTTTCCACTCTACAGCTAATCTAAGTCTCCACTCTGTCAAATCCATTAGATTTAATTGGTCATGCGAGCATGAAAGCCTTAGAACTTTAGATTAATGGATTAGATCTAATCATGGATTTAATCTAATCCATTATATTTAATTTGGAACCTTTCTTCTTTGCTCCCAAATTACGTGGTCAAACTAACGCAAAATTACACATAAATCCCTCTCATGTTTTTAATACCTAATGTTAACTACTACCTGTAGTAGTTGACTTTCGTTTTCTGGATGGATGTTAAGGCAAAGAAAACAAATAACAATCACAATAAACATGCAAATCGAGGAACAAGAAACGAGAACTTGGAGCAAAAGCAAGACGAGAGCTCAAGAAATCTGCCATCGGTCTTCCTTTGGCAGATGTTTCTGATGGCCTTTTTCATATGTGACAGGAGCAGTGAGGCAGAAGGAAGTAATCATGGTAATCGGGCTCATCGGTCTCATAACCACTGTCATCAAGAAGCTTTGAACCCTCGTGCTCAAAGGCTTTGATGCCCGATCCCGTTCTCAGCACCTCCTCGTCGGCCTCGAAACCGAGGCAGTTTCTGACGCTCAACCTCTCCAGCTTCCTGCACCCGTTCATGATGACCATCAGCTCCGCCTTGGTCAGATACGACTTGCTCAGCTCCAGATGTTTGAGCTCCGGAAGAGAGTTCACCACCGCCCATGCGTCTTCCTTCTTGATCGATCCAGATACCCTGAGCGCTGTGAAGTTGCCGCAGTTGCGGCTGATCTCGGAGACCATCGTCGAGAAAGTCGATGGCTTTGTTCCCATCTCGAGCCGTTCGAGGTCCTTCCACTTGCCCACCATCTCCGGGATGTGGGCTTCATCCGCCAACGTAAGATCAGGCAAAGAAAGAATCCTTAATCTTGGACACCTGCCAAGATACAGATTCCAAGCGTGAGAGAGAGGGAGAGACAGAGATAGGCAGCGAGGAAAACGAGAATCCACTCACTTGATCGAAGCATAAACCAGGTCTTGAAGAGATGCGCCGAACACGGGAGGAAACCTGAGCTCCACCGCGGATCCGTGGCTCCGGGCGACTGCCACCTTCATGAATCCCGAGAAGGAGAAGCTGCGCAGGGCGTGCCGCGCCATGAACCGCCTGGCGAAGCTGCTCCAGGGGAGGAAGTCGAGGTGATGAAAGTTGAGCACCTTCCAGCATCCGGGATCCATGGAAGCTCGGAGCCAGGACTTGCAGACGAAGGGCACCGCGACGGAGAGGTCGTCCAGGCCGAGCCGCCGGAAGACGGCAACCAAGCAGTCCACCGGCATCTCCTCCCACCTCCTCTGCTCGTCCATGTCAAGAACCGTCTACGTTTCGTCCCCTGCCACCAATCATTCAAGAGGAGGAGCTTGAACTGATTGCATGAGGGCCAGCGAAGCTTTCAATTGAATGGACTCCAATTTATTGGGTAAACCCGGTCCAATTAAGGACCGAAGAGGGACGCTCACCAAACAGTGCATGTGAGACTCCTCCCGTCTCCTCTGCTCACTCTTCTATATTCTTTGGGTTGCAGTGTAGTCCATGAATTAAACGTACTGTCAATCACGTTATTCACTACATGCTCATAAGTAAATTAATAGCTAAGCCAAATCACACACGTTAAACATATCCTTTATAGAATGAGTCCAAACTTCACATGTCATTAAAGAAAAGACAGAGTGGTCTGACCATTCGCCGGGTGGGGAGGAGGCTCGTTAGCTTAGTGGGAGAACACAAAGACGCCATTAATAATCGACCAAAGCTTTACTCAAGAAATAGTTAGTAATTGCCGGTAACGTTGTTGCTATTATCTATTTCGATACAATCATCTGCGTTCCTTTCGACAGAGGGGAAAGGTGGAGATTACGCGTGGCGGTATGCACTGTCATCATCCCGTTAAATCACGGCCGTTCATTTTGAAGCCATCACGTCATTCGTCCTCCGTACACAAGTCGTGGGGTGCTTGCTATAAATAGAGAGATGCCTCCCAAAAAACCGCTGCCCTTTTCCCAACCTCGTTTTCTTGAACGACCAGATCAAGAAGCGCCCCAAACCGTCCTTCCTAAATATGGTTAATAATATATGAGATAACCAGCTATGCCAAGCTCGAATAGGCATCTTATATTAAGATCAATGTCTGAGATATGAAAAAATATATAGATTAACTGAGAAGGTAAATGTTAGGACCATAATCATAATTAAGATAAATAGTGCTTGAGAATATTGCCAAAATTAGTCATATTTTCCGTTGGCAATTGCAGAAATACAATCTCTAGAACAAATGCTGAATTGATCATTTCTTATTTAAAGATGATATACAAGGATAACAACAATAATCTATAATGTCTCAACTTTTTGGGGTTGGTGTGCAACAAAATGATGTCTATCCTGGATGTTGAGGAGGCAATCTAATATGTGAAGAAGATCAAATGTAGGATATGTTTATGGAACAATAGAGCTATTGATACAGCACAAAGTCCTTTGCATGAGACTGATTGTATTCCAAACAGTCATAACACCATGTCACATGCCAGGTTTGATATGCCTATCCAGTAATCATGTAATAGACTGAGGTTAATCCAGTGAGTGCTGTGATATGCAGAGAAATAACGAGGCCATAAGTGGGAATCAAATTAAAGGATTGGCAATGATGCATTTGATTGAGGTTTTCAAAAGAACTGATGGATGGTGAATTATGTTGATCATATGTTTTGACGAGGATATGCTATGGTGATACTCGTAGCAGAAAACGAAGGTATGGATAAACCAATAGGGGGAAATTGTTAAGAGTCATTATAATGTCATGACAAACAAAAGCAAAATAATAAACTGACAGATGTTACTTGAAGGAGTCAAAATGGATCACAGGAAGACGCCGATGAAACAAAAAAAAAAAACATTGATAATTTGGACTACCAATTCAGGAAGGTCAGCCTTAACAAGCTAATTTTTATGCTCTTAATTATAATATTAAAGATATGCATTACAAGCATGGGACGGTGTGACTAAAACTATATATTAGAGATTTTTTTCTAAGTACTACTAGATCTCTAAGATATGGCTTCGTTTCTATTATTGATGATGGATCTTAATCATATATAACCAAGGATAATTGAATTTTTGAGGAGGAGAGCGATGATCTCTAGATTCTCCCTTTTTTTCCTATTTTTTTCTTCTCCTTTTCCCTCTTCTTTCTTCTCCCTCGGCCACCGTCGACGATAACGCCTCAATCGACGACGATAACACCTCAATGGATGATGCCGCTCAGTAGTGGGCAGTCCTTCTACCGATCTGCTGACGGACCATTACGTATCATCCGATACGGGCGGTATCATTCGGTATTGCAAACCTAGGTGACAACAACGACAGGAGCAATGGTAGCATTTATCATTGTAGTAATATAGTGATGACAACAACAATGTAAAGGCCAATAATGGTGATGACCACAAGGCTTACTACATGAGAAGCTTAAAAAAAATCCGAAAACTAACTTTTGTTTTCTTTGTACACCAAACCCTACACAAGATTAAAAAAATGGTGAAGCATGTGTTTCAAAAATATAATTTACTGTAAGCAAACACATCCTTTGATATCAATACTAGACTAATTAGCATAGAGAAAATTCAACCTCATAATAGCGACTCGTGCAAGAAGGAATTAATCTGTGTAGTTACAGTCGGACACAATACTATTATAATATCTAACTGTAGTTGTTAAAACTACATTTGATATAATGTCTAACTCAATCTAATAAGAAGAGCCCAAGCTGATGGAATGTGTATTTTACCAAAAATGAAAATTCATATCCAATGTAAATTAAATATAAAGATAAATATTGTAGAATACTACCTCTAGGGCAATCCTCTAATCTTCTTCACCATAAACTTTCTATGCAACTCCCCGCTAGAAGCACATGAAACAAAAGAAATCATTAAGCAAAATACAACAATAAAAGGATATCAGAATAAAAAAATGCAAACACAAAAACAAACATCTGTTTTTGCAAGTACAAGAAAACATATCAATTGTTTACACATCTCTTTTTATATATATATATGCTTCCTGATACTCTAATGGCTACAACGTGATCTAACTGTATATATATCAATAATATATTTTGTACAACACATGTAACAACAATTGTTAGTTATCTAACATGTTTATTTGTGAGCATTTATCATTCATCAAAATGCAGATTGTTATTACAACAACAAAGCCGTAAATCCCAACTATTTGAGGTCGGCTACATAGATCTTTTATCATCATTGGGATTTGTAAAAATCATATATTTAGTTAATTTTAAGATATTTAAATCTTTATTTATAATTTTCAGTAAAATCGTTTTAGATATTCGTCTATCTTTCCTCGTATCACTAACATTAATCATTTCACCTTTTCTAACTACTACATCTAGAGGTCTCCTAAGCACATGTTCATATCATCTTAAACGATTTTCTCTCATCTTATTCTCAATCGAGGCGTTACCTAATTGTTCACGAATAAAAATATTTCTTTTCTAATCTTTCATAGTAACTCCACACATTCATTTCAATATTCTCACCTCGGCAACACAAACTTTTTATATATGTTGTTTCTTAACTACCCAGCATTTAGATTCATAAAGTATTGTTGGTTTCACAACTACTTTATAAAATTTTTCTTTTAATCTCAAAGGTATTCGATGATCACACAATACTCTTAACGCCCCTTGTCGTTTTAACCATCATGTTGTTATTCAATGAATAATGTCTTCATCGATCTCTCCATATCTTCGTAGTTCAAGTTTATAATCAATTTCACTTAGGCTCTCATCAACTAGGATAATATCATCAGTAAATAACATTTACTGGAGAGGTTTATTATGTAAATGGCTAGTAAGTTTATCCATTATCAATGTGAAAAGATACGAACTTAACGAGAATCCTTAATGTAATCCTATATTAATAATAAATTCACTAGACACACTTTCTATAGTTCTAATACCAATAGTTATATTATTATATATATATCTTTAATAATATCAATATAATTAGTGAATATACCTTTCTTTTTTAAAACTCACCACAATAAATCTCTAAGAACCCTATCACAGGCTTTCTATAAGTCAATAAAGCCCAATGTTCATCGTACCGTAGCATATCATTCGATACGAGTAGTACATACCGGTATGACAAGGGATCGATACAGGTAGTATATCGGCATTTCCCTATGTACCATGTGTTGGTACACTCGGCACAAGTTGGTATGGCTCGATATGTATTGTACTGATAACTAATCGATACATCGATACAGACTAGTAAGACGAACCATGATAAAGCCCATATGCAATTTTTTTTTTTCTCTCTATACTTTTTCATTAATTGTTTTAATAAATAAATAATTTTTATGTTTGATCTTTCGAGCATAAAATCAAATTGATTTTTAGAGATATTTATTTTAAGTCTTATCATATTTTCGATAACTCTTTACCAAAATTTTATAATATAGCTCATGATTTTAATTTCTCTATAAACATATTGTTATTGTAGAAAAAAAAGGGTTCTGATGTCACATATGTTACTACCAAGTCTATAAGCATTTCATAGCGAAAAAAACTATCTATGGTGCTCCAAAGAAATAGATGGATTGCATGTAAACATGATTCCATTTAATATCACAATGAAACCATCTTTTTTCTAAAGCTAACAACAGCACCCAAGATTTCACACTAAAATATATTTACAAAGATGAGAAACGATATTTTTTTCTTACAACATAGATGAAAAACGTTAACGAAATAGAAGCGAAAAGTCTCTTCCATGATTCATCATCATCGTCTTCATCTCTTCTCCCACACGCAGTAGTCATTGCCAGAGGCAACAACGTGGAAGTTGGAAGGAACGAGATTCCCCACATCGTATCTCGAGCCTAGCTTTGTCAATATCTTCCCATCGATCATTGCCATGTAGAGGTCAGCATCAGCGGCCAGAATGTTGAGAGCGCTACCCGAATGAATTCCATTTCGTGTTCTGGTTTCAGCCAACCGAGTTATCTTCTCCTTCAATCCCCAGTCGAACATGTGGTCGTAGAACTGCACGCACGAACATATAATCGTCAGGCTGTGAAACTATTTGAATCGAATGTTAGGCAGAAGCATACTTACGATGGAAAGGACTCCCGGATGCGTGAGTATATAAGCGTAGCCTTGCATGACCTTATCAGAAGGAAAAGGCCACAACCTTTGCGTCGAACCGGTATCGTGGTTGTCGACGAAGGTGACAGCCTTCTCCGGCCACCACCCCATCATGCCGGGCGCCTTCCCCTGGGGATCACGCATTCTCCACAGTTCACCTTCCACGGCAGCTTGTAGTATTCCCTTTGTGGTGAAATCGAAGGTCGTCGCTGGGCCTCCGACCTGCTGAACCCAATTAACCAGCCCTTGGCGGTTGCCGTTCTGATCGTATGCTGGCTTCCCATCGTTTCCGTAAGCTAATGAACTCCAGATCTCAGCCACCACGAAGTTTGGCTGCATCTGTTCGACGTAGATCTTGGCGATGCTTGAGTAACCCTTGGCAAAGTCGAGCCTCCACCCATCGAAGCCGATCTCAGCCAGTCCGTGAGCTCACGCTGGACCTGCGTGTTGAGGTGGTCGATGTCGGGAGCCGCCGCGAAGCCCTCGCCGGTGTCGAGGTTGCCGGTGCCATCGGAGTACTGTGTGTCGTCCCTACAGATCAGGTGTGGACCCCAGTCGAGGCGGGCATCATCGGTTCCGCCTTCGAAGATGCACCATATGCCTCTCCCGTCTTGCTTGTCTGCGCAACGATGGTTGATGACGATGTCGGCCACGCATTTGACTCCCTTGTCGTGGAAAGCGCCGATCAGCGCCTTCAACTCATCCTGATTCCCATACTTGGAAGCACCCAAGTCGTAGAGCCGGCCCGGCATGTAACCTGAGAGGAGAAGTGTCACAGAATAGTTTAGACCAAGGCCGACTCGGTCAACATGTGAGAGTGATCACGACGACAAATACGAATCACGGAACGACCTTGAACGCCGACAGAGTGCGAGGGCGGAGGCAGCCAGACGTGGGTGACTCCAGCGTTGGCTACATCAGAGACTTTGTCTTTCAAGAAGTTATACCAGCCGCCTTGCTGCCTCCACGACTCCCAGTTGAAGCCCTGCAACGTATTCGTTTCTCTTAGTATAAACGCGATGAAGGACGAAGGAAAGAAATGGATCTGTTTATCTCTACTTGGAAGAGTATCTGGGACTGAGCCAAGTTCGGAACAACAAGAAACAGAAGCAGAAACATCCAAGGACCAAGTGATTTCACTTTCAGATCTGAAAAAAAAGAGGATGCAAACGAATTATAAACAGATATCTACATGAAAAGAAACAAAATAACAAGTCACCATACACCACAAAAACATATCAAACCAAGCACACGCAATTCAAACGAGAAACAGCCTCGCATGATGATCTTTGATTGTTTCCCCAAACAAGCTAAATATTTCACAGCAAACCTAATTTAGGATAATGACACAAGTATGAAGACCAACTAATCGTTAAAAGTTGTGTTTAGATCCCCAAACAAGCTAAATATTTCACAGAAACCCTATTCACTGCCTCGGCCCCCCTAAAACGTTTAAAGTTGTGTTTAGATCCGACCCGACTTGCTAGCGGGTCTGTATACTCGACCCATAATTCCGCCAGTCAAATTAAACGGGTCGGATCATTTCATTCGATGATTACGGATCGAGATCGACAGGCCCAGCAGACATGAACTGATCCGCTCTTCTGTTTGGATCTAGCTAAATGCATAATTAAAAGAAACGCTCTTAACTATCTCTTTTAAGCTTCTCCTCTTTCTCGTTCTAGTCAACAACCACACCACTGACGTTCCACTTCCATACATTTGATGGGAGGAACATCGAGTTCCTACTCCTCGTTCGACTCAGTTCTTCAATGATTGCCTTCAAAACCAGCTTGGTTTCATGGGTCAACGGGCTGGGTGGCGCCCGTTCCCTCCACTTTGATGTGATTATTTTGTGCTCCTCTCAGATGTTGTTACATGCACGTTTCTCCTGTCCCTTTCCATGGTTTCATGACAAAATAATGTGCAGTCGAGAAGCTTGACTGGGAACTCCTTTTCATCTTGTGATTTGTCCGCCCCATCCTATTGATTCTGAGATGAGTACTTTCTTTAGAGAAATAGAGAAGCTTGACTGGGAAATTGGGTCTGAGACACATTAAGTTGTGTATATACAATAAAGCATGAGTTGTAAGAGAGAGGTATAGATAAGATTCATAATGTTTGAGTGTTGGTGCAGTCAATAATGGAGAAATCGACCGTGATATTGAGATGCATTATTACTTTGATCATTGGCGTCGATGAGGCCATCTGAGAGGAGACATAAACCATGTTATTTAATCCCTCCCCTTTTTTTCTCTCAAGTCACACGATTAGTATATTGCATGGTATCAATCGGCCTTATGCATGCATGCATGGTTGAGTAGTAGTACGTACTTACGGAAAGCTTCCCTTTTGATTCGTTAATGAAGATTATTAGTGTTAGCTTATTCCAACAATACACTAACATCTCCTCTTAAAATAATTTCGAATAAATACAAATTCTTCGCAATAATCAGAGTATTTCCTTTTTTTTGGTTTACAATTGGTATGATTAATCATAGTCTCTTCTTTTGAGTGTTAGAATTGAATGCATCTGAAAGCCAAATGAGTGTTAGAATTGAATGTATGCATCTGAAAGCCAAATTTCAAATGCATGCATGCATCTCTACGTGACGTAAAGATATGAGTTATTTTTCTTTTGGTCGACACAAGAGATGATTTGTGGGCCAAAAATCAACGACTATTTGCATCACATAGTAACATTGATAAGATATGAATTGCTCTTAGTCATTTCTTGCTTTACAAATGATTCCACTCCACATGTGCATCACATGCATATCCTTTTCACGGACCCTCATATTCTTAACTGAAAAGCATCAGTGAGAACCACCAGCTCCAGTAACATGGCATAATAATCCCCCGAAACCAAAGGCCTTTGGCACTGATAGATGCCAATTCTCATGCTCTCTGGTATGCCTTTCCAATTCCCCACAATGGGTTTTGGCAGAAAGAGCTCTTAAGAGACTCCGACCTTGATTCGATATAGCGTTGTTTTTGGGGGAATAATCTTGCCAATACCAGAAAGAGCTCCACAGAAGGCCATCATGCATGTTACCCACAAAATCACAGTAATGCCCCAAGCATCCATGACACATTAAATCAGATGATTACTGAAACAAATAGTCAATAAATCAACTATGACAGCATCAAAACAAGATTGCTTTTTTCGTTAATTACCCACAAAATCACAGTAATGCCCCAACTGTTCTTCTTTCCTGCTAGTTTTCACATTTATATTTTTCATTGATGCATTTTTGTCTTCTACAGTATTACAAAATAGTACCGGTCAATCAATCATTGAAACTGATACCAAAACAGTAAATAGAATCTCATGCTTGAATCAATTCCATGTCTATGAATAGTGTTAGCTTATTCCAACAATACACTAACATCTCCTCTTAAAATAATTTCGAATAAATACAAATTCTTCGCAATAATCAGAGTATTTCCTTTTTTTTGGTTTACAATCGGTATGATTAATCATAGTCTCTTCTTTTGAGTGTTAGAATTGAATGCATGCATCTGAAAGCCAAATTTCAAATGCATGCATGGAACAGCCCAACACTAATCTTTCTGACAATTGCGTTCGAGGGAAAGGGGGATGTATCCTTCTGACAGGGACTCAACGATTGCCACACAATTAACATACAATAAAGCACGAGAAACTTACATCGATTGGAAGATGTGAGAGAACGTCACGTGTTAGGCTGTTCCATTTATTAGTAATTAATTTTTCATGATTTCAGCAAAAATTCAGCGATGGATCAGGGCTATGATCCTCCCTAAATTAACCCTGCACGAGGAAGAGCAAAAGAGCATATAGAATTATCACTATATTACAGATCAAAGCTTAACTTGGAGAACAACCTAACTCAAGAACAAGGAAACGTAAAGCCAATAAGGAATTTATACACTTCGTTTACCCAAAAAAATGGAAAGGCAAAGAGAAGGGGACCATCGGACCCTAATCAACCCAAGCAAGAAAATTCGATATGACAAGATCATCCGATCCCACGAAAAGAACAAGAAACCTCGATTCGCCCACAAAAAATACTCGTCACGGGCCACTCAACCAAATTAAAAAATGAATCAACGAAAACACGCACTCAAGAAGGTTACAGAAGAAGTCAAAGATCCACCAAATTCCGATGTACGCCTCCCAATTTCACAAATATCACGTGCCCGTTAAATATATCTCCGTATATTTAATTGAAGGATTATCACAGATATTCAATTTTATATAACATCTATTTAAAATGGAAAGATCTCACAGGCAAAATGAAGACAACAAAACAATAATCAAAATACTACCTCAACAACATAAACTACAAATATTATACGTCAAACAGGCTCAACAGAAAAGACCGTCCTTAGCTCATCGCAAATTCATAGAAGAAAGCATTATATGTTAGATTCAAAACCAGATTGCGCGCAATAATCCCTCGGACGGCACATAATCCTATAAACAAACACAACCATGGACGAACGAATCTCTGTACATTATAAAGGCCTAGCAAGATAAGAATCAAGAAGAGATTGGAAAACAAAGGGCTACCAAACAACCGCTTACGTCAAGTAGTAGGCGGTGACGAAGGGTTGATACCATGAAAATGACCCGATCAAAGAAAATAAACAAACACACAAGAACATATCTCAAAACCCTCAAGAAGGAACGCGATAAAGATCGAGAGGGAAGATATGGGAGAGCTAGGGCCAGAGTCAGGCAGCAGAGAGAATCAACCAAGCCAAGAAATCAAACAAATTAACCACTTACGTGAAGGGTTAATACCCTGAGAAGGATCCGATCAAAGAAAACAAACAAACATACAATAACAGATCTCGAAAGCCTCAAGAACTCAAGACAAACAAGGCATAAAGATTTAGCGGGCAGAATTAGTATAGTTAGGGCCGGATTCCAAGCGATCGCTTCGATAAAGAAGCAGGCAGCAGAGACATCAGCACTGCTAAATATGTTGGCTTCGGTCGCTGCGATCATCGAAGCCAACAAATCAAACAAAGAAACCGCTCACGTGAAGAAGAACTCGATGACGAAGGGTTAATACCATGAGAATGATCCGACCAAAGAAAACAAATAAACAGAACGAATCTCAAAATCCTCAAGAACTCTTGACAAAAGAATGCGACAAAGACTGAGAGGGAAGAGAACGGATAGTTAGGGTCAGAGTCCAAGGCAATCGCTTCGATGCGAAAGCAAGAAGCCCAGTGAGGGTTGGATACCTCGAGATCGGCGCTCGTCGTCGGCGTCGATCCCTGCCATCATCCAAGCCAAGAAACGAAACAAGAAACCATAAAATGGCAGACGATCTCGGAACCGTCAACAACCCTCGTCTGAAGAGGCAATTGAGAAGATCGGCAAGTGAAGTTTCTAGAAAAGGGTCGGCTGATCGCGTATCACGTGACATGAGCTCCATTTTTTTTTTTTGGTGTGTGGCCACATAAACGCATGGCGCATTCGGATTCGGATCCATATGAACGGTTGAGATACGTTAATGATCGGTGTCTCAGCAGAGACAACACGGATCTAAAAGTAAGCGTGACCATATTTAGTGAAGTGGAATTGCATCTTCGATTGGTTGCCCAAGCAACAATTAAAATCTCCATAGAGAAGGGATGTTAAATTTACGATAGAGATTACCCATGCATCAAAAAAATATAAAAGGGCTGTTAATTTTACAATAGAGCAGAAAAGCTGATTGAAATGAAACACACACGGCCCTGATACCAAAATTTATTGTTACTGACGGAAAAATATAGAAACTAATTCATCGTTAAGGATCATATTTAACAGCGAGGAATATGACCTACAATACATTTTGAGTGATCGTTCATAAAGATGGAGTTTCCCTTTCCTTTGTTTAGAAGGAAAAGATGTATCTACAGGCCATATCAGAGTTCCAAGGCTTGATGATAAGGATCTCATCTTCTCGATAGCTTAAACTCTCATGAGTGGATCTCAACAAAAAGACTTGCCTGTGGATGCAAACCTGCTTCCTTGAGTGTCAATGAATGCTTTTCTGGACCATAGGAAACGCGGGGAAAATTCGAGACCAGTGTGTAGTTTTCAGCTTTCAAGCACTCTAACGAATCAACATAGTCATATAAAGAGCTAATTGTAGCCGAACTATTGAACCTCCTTTCCTTGCGCTCTCCGGT